GTTGTAATGTATTTCTTTATGTCAAGTTGTCATAGCAGTGTCATCTTTGCAATTAAAGTAACTCATTCATAACCGAGCAAATGACACTTAATAACAGTCGTTATAAGCGTACATAAAATCTCATTGACATTCATGACGTGTTGTATCATGATTATAGAGGTTTCACAGTGTTCCCGAATGTCTCTGTGGTGTTTGTTGTTTGTCTGATGGGTCTGATATCTGGTGGGCTGCTGCGTCTCTGTCATTAAACTCACTGTATGCGTTCAGCTGAAATTAATGAATTACGCATTAATCCTTGCTAATCTATTCCAGTTTGTCACTCCGCCGCTCGCTTTCCTCATCATAGTAAACAATCCCCTGCTGTTCACCAAACACACTCCACATCCAGCGCTAGCAGATGCTGTCGGGTTGTGTTTTCCTTGTGTTTCTGTTGTCCAGTCCTGATGGGGTTTGTGCTCATAACATCAACACAACTCTGGTGTTTATGTTGTTCTGCGAGTGTGTGTGATACGCTTTAGCCGAGCCGCAGATAAACATGGCTTTAATTGAGTTTTGATTTGTGGAGGCAGAGAGAAGCGAAGGTGCTGATGTTGTTCAGGAAGGTGCTGATTCTATGTGACAGATGTTATGATGTTGTGTCAGTATTGTGCTTTTGTTGTCAGTATTGTGATGTTGTTGTCAGGAAGGTGATAATACTGTGTGATGTGATGATGTTTTATCAGGATTGTGATGTTGTCAGTGTTGTGATGTTGTTGTCAGGAAGGTGATAATACTGTGTGATGTGATGATGTTTTATCAGGATTGTAATGTTGTCAGTATTGTGATGTTGTTGTCAGTGCTGTGATGTCAGTGTTGTAATGTTGTTCTCAGTGCTGTGATGTTGTCAGTGTTGTGATGTTGTCAGTGTTGTGATGTTGTCAGTGTTGTGATGTTGTCAGTATTGTGATGTTGTTGACAGTGTTGTGATGTTGTTGACAGTGTTGTGATCAGTGTTGTGATGTTGTCAGTGCTGTGATGTTGTTGTCAGTGTTGTGATGTTGTCAGTATTGTGATGTTGTTGACAGTGTTGTGATGTTGTTGACAGTGTTGTGATGTTGTTGTCAGTGTTGTGATGTTGTCAGTATTGTGATGTTGTTGACAGTGTTGTGATGTTGTTGACAGTGTTGTGATGTTGTTGTCAGTGTTGTGATGTTGTCAGTACTGTGATGTTGTTGTCAGAGCTGTGATGTTGTTGTCAGTGTTGTGATGTTGTTGCCAGTGTTGTGATGTTGTTGTCAGTGCTGTGATGTCATTATTGTGATGTTGTTATGCCAGTATTGTGATGTTGTCAGTATTGTGATGTTGTCAGTGTTGTCATGTTGTCAGTGCTGTGATGTTGTTCTCAATATTGTGATGATGTTGTCAGTGCTGTGATGTTGTTGTCAGTGCTGTGATGTCAGTATTGTGATGTTGTTGTCAGTCCTTGATGTTGTCAGTGCTGTGATGTTGTCAGTATTGTGATGTTGTTGTGCCAGTATTGCGATGTTGTTGTCAGTGCTGTGATGTTGTTGTCAGTATTGTGATGTTGTTGTGCCAGTGCTGTGATGTTGTTGTCAGTGTTGTGATGTTGTTGTCAGTGTCGCCATGTTGTCAGTGCTGTGATGTTCTCAATATTGTGATTTTGTTGTCAGTGCTGTGATGTTGTTGTCAGTATTGTGATGTTGTTGTCAGTGTTGTGATGTTGTTGTCAGTATTCCGATGTTGTTGTCACTGCTGTGATGTTGTTGTCAGTGCTGTAATGTTGTTTTCAGTATTGTGATGTTGTTGTCAGTATTGTGATGTTGTTAGTGCTGTGATGTTGTTGTCAGTGCTGTGATGTTGTTGTCAGTGCTGTAATGTTGTTTTCAGTATTGTGATGTTGTTGTCAGTATTGTGATGTTGTTGTGCCAGTGTTGTGATGTTGTTAGTGCTGTGATGTTGTTGTCAGTGCTGTGATGTTGTCAGTATTGCGATGTTGTTGTCAGTGCTGTGATGTTGTTGTCATTGTGGTGATGTTGTCAGTATTGTGATGTTGTTGTGCCCATATTGTGATGTTGTTGTCGGTGTTGTGATGTTGTCAGTGCTTTGATGTTGTTGTCAGTACTGTGATGTTGTCAGTGCTTTGTTGTTGTCAGTATTGTGATGTTGTTGTCAGTGCTGTGATGTTATCAGTGCTTTGATGTTGTTGTCAGTATTGTGATGTTGCTGTGCCCATATTGTGATGTTGTTGTCAGTATTGTGATGTTGCTGTGCCCATATTGTGATGTTGTTGTCAGTGTTGTGATGTTGTTGTCAGTGCTGTGATGTTGTCAGTGCTTTGATGTTGTTGTCAGTGCTGTGATGTTGTCAGTATTGTGATGTTGTTGTCAGTGCTGTGATGTTGTCAGTGCTGTGATGTTGTCGTCAGTGCTGTGATGTCGTCAGTGCTGTAATGTTTTTGTCAGTGCTGTGATGTTGTTGTCAGTGCTGTGATGTTGTCAGTGCTGTAATGTTGTTGTCAGTATTGTGATGTTGTTGTCAGTATTGTGATGTTGTCGTCAGTGCTGTGATGTTGTCGTCAGTGCTGTGATGTTGTTGTCAGTGCTGTGATGTTGTTGTCAGTGCTGTGATGTTGTCGTCAGTGCTGTGATGTTGTTGTCAGTATTGTGATGTTGTCGTCAGTGCTGTGATGTCGTCAGTGCTGTGATGTTGTAGTCAGTATTGTGATGTTGTTGTCAGTATTGTGATGTTGTCGTCAGTGCTGTGATGTCGTCAGTGCTGTGATGTTGTTGTCAGTGCTGTGATGTTGTCGTCAGTGCTGTGATGTCGTCAGTGCTGTAATGTTGTTGTCAGTATTGTGATGTTGTTGTCAGTGTTGTGATGTTGTTGTCAGTGCTGTGATGTTGTTGTCAGTGCTGTGATGTTGTCGTCAGTGCTGTGATGTTGTAGTCAGTATTGTGATGTTGTTGTCAGTATTGTGATGTTGTCGTCAGTGCTGTGATGTTGTCAGTGCTGTGATGTTGTCAGTGTTGTGATGTTGTCAGTATTGTGATGTTGTCGTCAGTGCTGTGATGTTGTTGTCAGTGCTGTGATGTTGTTGTCAGTGTTGTGATGTTGTCGTCAGTGTTGTGATGTTGTCGTCAGTGTTGTGATGTTGTCAGTGTTGTGATGTTGTCAGTGTTGTGATGTTGTCAGTGTTGTGATGTTGTCAGTGTTGTGATGTTGTCAGTGTTGTGATGTTGTCAGTGTTGTGATGTTGTCAGTGTTGTGATGTTGTCAGTGTTGTGATGTTGTTGTCAGTGTTGTGATGTTGTTGTCAGTGTTGTGATGTTGTTGTCAGTGTTGTGATGTTGTTGTCAGTGTTGTGATGTTGTTGTCAGTGCTGTGATGATGTTGTCAGTGTTGTGATGTTGTCAGTGCTGTGATGTTGTCAGTGCTGTGATGTTGTTGTCAGTGCTGTGATGATGTTGTCAGTGTTGTGATGTTGTTGTCAGTGTTGTGATGTTGTTGTCAGTGTTGTGATGTTGTTGTCAGTGTTGTGATGTTGTTGTCAGTATTGTGATGATGTTGTCAGTATTGTGATGTTGTTGTCAGTGTTGTGATGTTGTTCTCAATATTGTGATGTTGTTGTCAGTAGTCATGGTAACCGTCAGGTGACTCTGAGATGCCCTCAGTCTGATGAAGAGCATCTGCGCATCGCACCAGGTGTAATGAGTGTTTAATTGCAGTGGCTGCTGTGAGCGAGGCTGTTTGTGTCTTTTAATTAGATGAATAAATTGCTCTCATTAAAGAGTTTGATTTCAAATAAAGCTGGAAGCAGATGTGAATGTGAAATGCACCTTAAAGACATCATCACAGCATCAGCACATACACATTCCTGAAGGACGTGTGTGTGTGTCTCGGTGTGTGTGTACAGTTGCTCCTGGATCTGCTGGCATCTGTTCTGATGTTTGCACGCTTGGCCTTTGAGCTCTGTCTGCACACAAAATGGCTTCCCATGTTCCTCTGTGACAAGATGTCTGGCCTAAGAGCAGATCGACTGTCTCAGTTACACACACACACACACACACACACACACACAGATCTGTGTCTGGCTGATGCTCTAGGTGGAGGGTTTGTTGCGTCTTTCAAGGTTTTCTCTCCTGGTTCTCTGGTGTGTGTGTTTGTGTGTGTGTATGTGTGTTATGGAGGTAAAGTAGGTCATGGTGGTGCAATGACTGATTTCTTCTCTTAGGGTGCATCTCAATCTGTTCACTAGTAAGTGCGCTGATCAGGGCATCAGCCATTTTAAAGTGCTGTCTCAATCGCAAAATACTTCCAGTGCACTGAAACGCTCATGCCTTAGAAAGGGCCCACAATGCACTGTGAAAATCAGGGTGTGTCGATCCTTAACAGACATTCTGAAGTGCGAATTATGAATCACTTCAACCAAATCATCAAACAGAACAAGCGAGAGGCGTTTTATTCCTAATCCATTATTCATATGTAACATGAAAGAACATCGCTATACAGTTAGGAACAGTCTGGAAAACATTTCTAACTGTTGAATTGCTGGCATGTGAAACTTTAACCTTTGTAAAATTAGTTTATGAAAATGCTAAATGTCAGCTCTGATGATGTATAATGAGGGTGTTCCTGTAACACATTAAAGGCGCTGGTATTCTTCAAATGAACTCCTTTTTATGTTCTGACTCTGAGCTGTGTGGATATAAAGCATGTCAAAGACGGCGGAGCTCCAGGACACACCCACTGATTTACATAATCTTCATGGACCAATGGCAGCTCAGAAGTGTTTAGTTTACACCTGCTGAAGTGAACTTTGTAAAATGAGCTTTTAGTTCGGGCTGGATTTTGTGCGATATGACGCCAGCTCTGGTTTAGGGTTTGCTGTTTCAAATACATCGTGCCTATGGAGAGTCCCTGTAAACCACCAACACCAACCTGTGTGTGTATGTTGTGTGTTTGCGTGCTGACAGTGAGTAACTGAGTCAGTAAATTAGAGCGTGGGCTCCTGCAGCGTCGCAGGAAACCTTCTCTAACAGCAGGAGCTCCTGAACTGTCAGAGTCTTTAATTTTAACACACACAAATTAAACACGCAGCTCAGCGAACACAGGCGCTGCTCGAGTGTTTTCAGAGATCTGCTCATGTGTGTTATTGAGAAATGTCAACAGCTACAGAACACCAAACTTCATCAGGCCTTTTATAATCACTGAAGAACAGCGTATAGAGATTTAGGAATGGCTTCCCATGGTTAACCAATCACACTTCTGCGTGTGGAGCGACCAATCACACTTTTCCATGTGGAGTGACCAATCACGCACCTCTGTCTGGGCTGGTTAATCACTCTTCTCCGTGTGGAGAGTCCTGAAACCAATCCTGCTTCTCTTTGTTAAGAGACCAATTATGTCTCTTTGTCTAGAGCAACCAATCATGCTTCTCTGTGCGGAGTGACCAATCATTCTTCTCTATGTGAAGCAACCAATCACAATTCCCCATCTGGAGCAACCAATCATGTTTCTTAGTGTGGAGCGACCAATCATCCTTCTCTATGTGGGCTGGTCAATCACGGTTCTCCATCTAAGCTGACAATCGCACCTCAATATCTGGAGCGACCAATCATGCTTCTCTGTGCGGAGTGACCAATCATGCATCTCTATCTGGAGCGAATCAATCACACTTTACTATCTGGAGCGACCAATCATGGTTCTTTGTATTGAGCGACCATTCACACTTCAATATCTGGAGTAACCAGTCTCAATTCTGGCTGCGGTGCGATCAGTCATGCTTCTCTGTGTGGAACGACCATTCACGCTTCTTCATGTGGAGCAACTAATCTTGCTTCTCTTTGTTGAGAGATCAATCAAGCTGCTCTGTGAAAAGTGACCAATCACAATTCCCCATATGGAGCAACCAATCAAGCTTCTTTATCTGGGCTGGTCAAACATGCTTTACTATCTAAGCTGACCAATCACACTTTACTATCTGGAGTGACCAATCATGCTTCTCTGTGTGGAGTGACCAATCACTCTTCTTTGTGTTGAGCGATCATACAAACTTCAATATCTGGAGTGACCAATCACAATTCTTGGTGTGGTGCAACCAATCATCCTTCTCTATGTGAAGCGACCAATCACAATTCCCCATCTGGAGCAACCAGTCCCACTTCTCTGTGCTGAGCGACCAATTCTTCTTCTCTGTCTGGAGCGACCAATCACACTTTTCTATGTTGAGAAATTAATCCAGCTTCACTATCTGGGCTGGTCAATCATGGTTCTCCATCTAAGCTGACAATCCCACTTTAATTTCTGGAGTGACCAGTCACACTTCTCCATGTGGAACGACCAATCTCACTTCTCTTTGCTGAGAGACCAATCATGCTTCTCAGTGTAAAGTGACCAATCACAATTCCCCATCTGGAGCAACCAATCACACTTCTCTGTTGAGAGATCAATCCCGCTTCTCTATCTGGGCTGGTCAATCACGCTTCTCCATGTAACCTGACCAATCACACTTCAGTATCTGGAGCGACCAGTCACACATCAATATCTGGAGCAACCAGTCACAATTCTCGGTGTGAAGCGGCCAATCATGATTCTCCGTTTGATGTGACCAATCACACTTCTCCATCTAAGCTGAACAATCACACTTCAATATCTGGAGCGACCAGTCTTGCTGTGGAGTGAGTCATGTTTCTCTGTCTGGAGCAACCAATCATGATTCTCTATCTGGGGCGACCAATCAGTTGATGTGTATGTGCAGGTGGACATGTGTATGTCCACTTTGTAAATGTAGTGTAGTCTTCGTGCACAGTTTCTAAATTCTGTGAAATAAGTAGAGGACTCCTTCACCAGTCTAGAGTCACGAGGAGCTCTGCTTGACTTTCCTGCAGTTCTGGATGTAGTAACAGTGTGTTTGATGAGTGTGTGTGTGTGTGCTGCAGTGACACACACGTGATGTGTTATATAACAGAGAGAAAGAGCGAGACGGGGCTCTCAGTGATGGATGTGGGACAGTGATGGATGAGAGAGGCGATGGTTAAAGGCCCAGGAGACGCTCTGACTCCAGCAAAGAGAAAGAAATGCAAGTCACGCAGTAAAGCAGCCATGAGAGAATAATGCAGGAGATGCACACAGCTGCTGGATTACTAATCGATCGTTATCAGTTACTGATTACACATTACATCACAAGATTTCTATTCAGTAATATAATCTCTGACTAGATCTGACTAGTTTTGATTACTTATGTAAAATTGAACTACTTTTGGATTACATTGATGACTGTTTTTGCTAAGTCTGTTGCATCACATTGAGATTACTTTTATGGGAACAATGACTACTTTTGGATTACATTTAGATTACTTTTGTGGTAACCATCTGACTACTTTTAGAATTTTCTTGTCTACTTAGTCCCTTTATTAATCAGGGGTCATCATCTGACTACTTTTGGATTACATTGATGCCTGTTTTTGGCAGCATGGTGGCGCATTGGGTGGCACAAGTCCCTCACAGAAGGTCGTTGGTTCGAGCCACAGCTGGGTCAGTTGGTGTTTCTGTGTGAAGTTTGCATATACTCCCCGTGTTGGCGTGGGTTTCCTCTGAGTGCTCCGGTTTCCCCCATAGTCCAAACACATGCGCTATAGGGGAATTGCGTAAGCTAAATTTTCAGTAGTGTAAGGGTGTAAATGAGTGTATGGGTGTTTACCAGTGATGAGTTGCAGCTGGAAGGGCATCCGCTGTGTAAAACATATGCTGGATAAGTTGGCGGTTCATTCCTCTGTCGTGACCCCAGAATAAAGGCACTAAGCTGAAAAGAAAATAAATAAATGAATGAATGATGCCTGTGTTTGGATGACGTTTGGATTACTTGTGTGTAAAATGTAAGTATATTGGATTACATGGCTGTTTTTGCTAACCGTCTGTTGTATTAGATGGAGATTACTTTGTTGTACCAGTCTGACTACCTTTAGATTACATATAGATTACTTTTATTGTATCAATCCATCTACTTTCTGGAGTTTCTTTATTTCTGCGAGTGAAACGCAGCCGAACCCGCGACTCTGCAGGACGCATTTCATCGATCACACACTCCACGAGATGAAAGGCTGCTCTCACTCAGGTCCTGCTGTTCATTACTGCTGCGTTTGATGTCAGCGGTCGGCGGTCCTTCAGCAGATCAGACATCGATCACAGCCCCTGTGTGTGTGTGTGTGTTATTGTGAGAGACAGAGAAAGAGACATGACCAATAGAGCATCGATCAGATCTGAACACTGAACACTTCTGTACTGCTGAATCTGACGGGCAGATATGGAAGTGTGTGTTTGGAAGAGTGTGTGTGTGTGTGTGTGTTGCAGCTGTTTGTTGAAGTTTTAATTTGACCTTCAGTAACAGCACTGAAGATCAAACACACACTCTTATTCATCTGATTGCCATCTCCGGTGTTTCTGAATCTGCCCCACACACACACACACACACACACATTCAATACACTCTTCATTATCCGAGTCATTAGAATTCATCACTGGAGCCACAACAAATCAAAGCACATCAGCCACAAAACGGTCTGCTTTCAGTACTGCGCGGTGGAGGCAAACGGTTGTCAGGGTGTGTTAGGCAGTTGCTAGGGTGAGTTGTGTGGTTGCCAGGCTCCTGTGTGGTTTTTAGGATGAGTTGTGTGGTTGCTAGACTTCTGTGTTGTTACTAAAGTAAATTGTGAGATGTGTTGTTACAAGGCTGCTGTGTGTGGTTGCTAGGGTAAGGTGTGTTGTTACCAGGTTGCTGTGTGTGGTTACTAAGGTAAAATGTGTTGTTACCAGGCTGTGTGGTTACTAAGGCGAGATGTGTTGTTACCAGGCTGATGTGTGGTTGCTAGGGTGAGATGTGTTGTTACCAGGCTGCTGTTTGTGGTTACTACGGTGAGATGTGTTGTTACCAGGCTGCTGTGTGTGGTAGTTAGGGTGATTTGTGTTGTTACTCTGCTGCTGTGTGGTTGTTAGGGTGAGTTGTGTTGTTACTAATTTGCTGTGTGTGGTTGCTAGGGTGAGTTGTGAAGTTACCAGGCTGCTGTGTGTGGTTACTAAGGTAAATTGTGCGGTTGCCAGGTAGCTTTGTGTGGTTGCTAGGGTGGGTTGTGTGGTTACCAGGTTACTGTGTGTGGTTGCTAAGGTAAGTTGTGTTGTTACCAGGCTGCTGTGTGTGGTTTCTAGGGTGACTTTTATGGTTGCTAGGCTGCTTTGTGTGGTTGCTAGGTAGAGTTGTAAGGTTGCCGTGTGTGTTTGGCCCTGTGTTCTGAGATGCTCTCTGCAGTTTCTGTCATCATTGGGATGCTCAGTTTGGTATCTAGGCAGTTTGTTTCTGGTTGCTAGGTGTGTCCTTCAGCCTCTGTGGATGTGACTCTTCCATTAGTTCATTCATTCAGAACTGAACACTGATGCTTGAGCTCCCAGCATGCACTGAGGCATGAAGAACTTCTGCAGATGAGTGTGATCAGTCATTAGAGTGTGCTGAGGATTGTTTATACGCTGTGCTGATTACTGCAGAGCATCTGAAGAGAGTCCTGCTGCAGTCTCTCTACACCTCCATCACTCTACACCTCCATCACTACTGCTGCTGTCTCTCTACACCTCCATCACTCTACACCTCCATCACTACTGCTGCAGTCTCTCTACACCATCTCCATCACTACTGCTGCAGTCTCTCTACACCTCCATCACTACTGCTGCTGCAGTCACTCTACACCTCCATCACTACTGCTGCAGTCTCTCTACACCATCTCCATCACTACTGCTGCAGTCTCTCTACACCACCTCCATCACTACTGCTGCAGTCTCTCTACACCACCTCCATCACTACTGCTGCAGTCTCTCTACACCTCCATCACTCTACACCTCCATCACTACTGCTGCTGTCGCTCTACACCTCCATCACTACTGCTGCAGTCTCTCTACACCTCCATCACTCTACACCTCCATCACTACTGCTCCAGTCTCTCTACACCTCCATCACTCTACACCTCCATCACTACTGCTGCAGTCACTCTACACCTCCATCACTACTGCTGCAGTCACTCTACACCTCCATCACTCTACACCTCCATCACTACTGCTGCAGTCTCTCTACACCTCCATCACTCTACACCTCCATCACTACTGCTCCAGTCTCTCTACACCTCCATCACTACTGCTGCAGTCTCTCTACACCTCCATCACTACTGCTGCAGTCTCTCTACACCTCCATCACTACTGCTGCAGTCTCTCTACACCTCCATCACTACTGCTGCAGTCTCTCTACACCTCCATCACTACTGCTGCAGTCTCTCTACACCTCCATCACTCTACACCTCCATCACTACTGCTGCTGTCTCTCTACACCTCCATCACTCTACACCTCCATCACTACTGCTGCTCTCTCTACACCTCCATCACTCTACACCTCCATCACTACTGCTTCAGTCTCTCTACACCTCCATCACTACTGCTGCAGTCTCTCTACACCTCCATCACTCTACACCTCCATCACTACTGCTGCTGTCTCTCTACACCTCCATCACTACTGCTGCTGTCTCTCTACACCTCCATCACTACTGCTGCAGTCTCTCTACACCTCCATCACTACTGCTGCTGTCTCTCTACACCTCCATCAATCTACACCTCCATCACTACTGCTGCTGTCTCTCTACACCTCCATCACTACTGCTGCTGTCTCTCTACACCTCCATCACTCTACACCTCCATCACTACTGCTGCAGTCTCTCTACACCTCCATCACTACTGCTGCTGTCTCTCTACACCTCCATCACTACTGCTGCTGTCTCTCTACACCTCCATCACTACTGCTGCAGTCTCTCTACACCTCCATCACTACTGCTGCAGTCTCTTTACACCTCCATCACTACTGCTGCTGTCTCTACACCTCCATCACTACTGCTGCTGTCTCTCTACACCTCCATCACTACTGCTGCAGTCACTCTACACCTCCATCACTCTACACCTCCATCACTACTGCTGCAGTCACTCTACACCTCCATCACTCTACACCTCCATCACTACTGCTGCAGTCTCTTTACACCATCTCCATCACTACTGCTGCTGTCTCTCTACACCTCCATCACTACTGCTGCTGTCACTCTACACCTCCATCACTACTGCTGCTGTCACTCTACACCTCCATCAATACTGCTGCAGTCTCTTTACACCATCTCCATCACTACTGCTGCAGTCACTCTACACCTCCATCACTACTGCTGCAGTCTCTCTACACCTCCATCACTACTGCTGCAGTCACTCTACACCTCCATCACTCTACACCTCCATCACTACTGCTGCAGTCTCTCTACACCTCCATCACTCTACACCTCCATCACTACTGCTGCTGTCTCTCTACACCTCCATCACTACTGCTGCAGTCACTCTACACCTCCATCACTCTACACCTCCATCACTACTGCTGCAGTCACTCTACACCTCCATCACTCTACACCTCCATCACTACTGCTGCAGTCACTCTACACCTCCATCACTCTACACCTCCATCACTACTGCTGCTGTCTCTCTACACCTCCATCACTACTGCTGCAGTCACTCTACACCTCCATCACTCTACACCTCCATCACTACTGCTGCAGTCACTCTACACCTCCATCACTCTACACCTCCATCACTACTGCTGCTGTCTCTCTACACCTCCATCACTACTGCTGCAGTCTCTCTACACCTCCATCACTACTGCTGCAGTCTCTCTACACCTCCATCACTACTGCTGCTGTCACTCTACACCTCCATCACTACTGCTGCAGTCTCTTTACACCATCTCCATCACTACTGCTGCTGTCTCTCTACACCTCCATCACTCTACACCTCCATCACTACTGCTGCAGTCACTCTACACCTCCATCACTACTGCTGCAGTCACTCTACACCTCCATCACTCTACACCTCCATCACTACTGCTGCTGTCACTCTACACCTCCATCACTACTGCTGCAGTCTCTTTACACCATCTCCATCACTACTGCTGCAGTCTCTCTACACCTCCATCACTACTGCTGCAGTCTCTCTACACCTCCATCACTCTACACCTCCATCACTACTGCTGCTGTCTCTCTACACCTCCATCACTACTGCTGCAGTCTCTCTACACCTCCATCACTCTACACCTCCATCACTACTGCTGCTGTCTCTCTACACCTCCATCACTACTGCTGCAGTCACTCTACACCTCCATCACTCTACACCTCCATCACTACTGCTGCAGTCACTCTACACCTCCATCACTCTACACCTCCATCACTACTGCTGCTGTCTCTCTACACCTCCATCACTACTGCTGCAGTCACTCTACACCTCCATCACTCTACACCTCCATCACTACTGCTGCAGTCACTCTACACCTCCATCACTCTACACCTCCATCACTACTGCTGCAGTCTCTCTACACCTCCATCACTCTACACCTCCATCACTACTGCTGCTGTCTCTCTACACCTCCATCACAACTGCTGCAGTCTCTCTACACCTCCATCACTACTGCTGCAGTCTCTCTACACCTCTATCACTACTGCTGCAGTCACTCTACACCTCCATCACTCTACACCTCCATCACTACTGCTGCTGTCTCTCTACACCTCCATCACTACTGCTGCAGTCTCTCTACACCTCCATCACTACTGCTGCAGTCTCTCTACACCTCCATCACTCTACACCTCCATCACTACTGCTGCAGTCTCTCTACACCTCCATCACTATGTGTTCATAATTATGTGTGTGTGTTGTGCACAGTGTAGTGCAGTGGTGTCTCCTCAGTGTTTCTCCTCAGCCTGTGGTTCAGTCCCACTTCATATATTCATGAGGAGAGGAAATTAGTTGAGAGAGAGAGAGGAGAGAGACTCGACATGTCTTCTCTTCATTCCCGGCAGCCATTTTACACTCACTCTTTTTTTCTGCAGCTGGAGTGAGTGTGTGTGTGTGTGTGTGTGTTTCCCTCTCCTCACTAGTGTAGTCTTCCTCCTCCTCTTCCTCTGGTGTTTGTGTCATGTTTTCCTCCTGCTCCTCTTCCTCTGGTGTGTGTGTGCGTAATGTTTTCCTCTTCCGCCTCTGATCGTCCAGTGTGAGCCTCTACAGCAGCAGCAGGTCTGCCCGCAGGGAAGCTCACAGTCTGGGCACGGAATCAGTTCTAAACGCCTGCTGCTTTCTGAACCGCTGAGCCCGTCTAATGGAGGAGGCGTGGCTTTTCTAATAGTGGAGGCGTGGGTACTGTCGTGGTGTTTTAAAATAGAGAAGGTGTGGTTCTTGTAATGGTGGAGGTGGGCTTTTCTAATAGAGGAGGTGTGGTATCTGTAATGGAGGAGGCGTGGTTTTTGTAACGGTGGAGGTGTGGCTTCTGTAGTGGTGGAGGTGTGGCTTCTGTAGTGGTGGAGATGTGGCTTCTGTAGTGGAGGTGCGGCTTCTGTAATGGTGGGGGTGTGGCAGTCAGAAGTAATGACATATATATTTATTGGCGTATATATTTTGAATGTGAATCATTTAAATCTGTGATGGGCAAACTTTTTAGACCTGAGGACCACGTCAGGTTTTGCAAACCAAGTGAAGGGCCACACGTCAAATTCTCCAATAAAACATAACCTTTATTTATAGTGGCAGTATGCATGGAGCATGTAATGTCACATTAACACAAAACAGAGTTTTTTTTAAATATTATTAAGTCAAATTTTCAAGTCAAATTCATTCGCAATCATCATAAAACAATAAAATAATTCCTTATCAAACATAATATTGATAATAACAATAGTAATTTAATGATTTTTACCATGGAGAATAGAAAAGATACTATCTGTAGACAAAATCTCATATTAACACATTAAAAATTATTCTTAAAAATTACTATTCAGTCAAATTTACAATAATTTAATCTGCACTGCTTTTAGAACATCATCATAAAACCACAACTCTTTGATAAAAGAACTTTTTTAAGTGTATGTTTAAGAAAATATGTTCTATGACCAAAATGAACACATTTAACCAGCGATTATTATATAACTTGAGTCAAATTCACAACAATCTGATTTGAGCTTGTATAAATCTGCTCATATCAATCCTAAAACGATGAGATAAAACAGAAGAAGAATCTTTAGTCTTTGTTATTCCAAGTCGTGTTATTATGAGTGTGTTGATGTGAACAATGAGCCTGGTCCCCTCTCTTCCCAAGGGTGTCAAAGTCTGGAGTCTGCTACGACAAAAACGCCAGGCACAGCAGGTGGTAAACGCGAGGTGTGCAGAAGCAGCGCTCGAACCCTTCGCGGCCGTTAGTAAACCATTCAAAAGAGCCGGCTCTTAGCGCATAAAGCACGTTCAGTGTGGTCAGCCCCTAGGTTGTAGTCTTTAAAAACAGCAATACTTGATGAAATGATCATGGTGAGGTGTTCTTGTTTCTCGTGTTGTAAATGAATAATGATAAATGAAGAGTATATTGTATGGAGACACACCTCTGCTGAAGCTTCATGCCCCGTGTATCTTTTGGTCATTTGATTTTCATTTTCGATGACTATTGGATATTGAAAGACGAGAAGGTCCGTGTACGTTGCGTTCATTTGATTTTTGATCTTAAACTAAATTTTAAAAACGAGGAAACAGCTGTTTTTTAAAATCACAAAAAAAAATTTAAAAAATCACAAAATACAGATATTTTGTACTCGACATTAATCCAGCGAAAGTCTCGAAAGTAAAGCTTGCTACGTGAGAGAAAATGTGTGTGTGTTTTCCAATGAACTCTTATTCTGGCCCTGCTAACAACTATAAAAATAAAAACTAAACAATAAAAAACACTATCATAATAATAATAATTATTATTATTATTATTATTATTATTATTATTATATAGGCCTAGCTTGGAAACAATCGTGCAAACCAAGTGCTGCTCGCAAATCTTTTGCTCAGTATCAGGTGCATAGCAGCAAATTTGGCGGCGAACTATAACAGTAATGATAAATTGTAATTATAAATGTCTAATAATACTGCTAATATATTATATTAAATATAATATATTAAATGCCTGGGTGCTGATCCGCAGAGGACGAGGACTACAGGACTGTTATTTTGAGGGCGACGTCAGGAGCCCAGATTTGATTGACCAATCAGAGGAAATGGGCGTTTCAGAACCGCCTACATGTGGATAATGAATTTTAAAGTCATTTATCTATTTTCCTAAACTAAACCAAAAAAAGAAAATCGAGCCAAAATCAGTTATTTAATTTTTTTGTAGCCAAATAAAAAATGAAAAACGGCCGTTTCCTCGTTTTTAAAATTTCGTTTAAGATCAAAAATCGAATGAACGCAACGTACACGGACCAGAGAAGCAGGCCATTTTTTATTTTCATTTTTATATCCAAAAGTGAATATTGAAATGTGATGCGTTTTTCTTTTTCATTGTGGAAAACGGAAAAGCAAAATTCAAAAATAACAAAAAATTAAATCAGCAGAAAACAAAAATGAATAAATGCTTGTGTTCTATATTGCAAAACCAGACTCAATAACAGTGATGCAATGCTGCCACACACAGGCTAGCCTACTATAGGCTATCATTTACCCAATTAATAATGTTATAAGAGGTGTTTGACTGTGATAACGGGATCTTCTTAAGACATGTTTTCCTCATTTAGGCCGGTTATATTTATAATGTTGTATATATAATATATTATTATTATTTTATTTTTGTTGTTACATAGCAGCATTTTTAATGGAACAACTCAAGCTTTTCTTCGGTTTTGTGTTCTGCTGATTTTATTTTTTTCATTGGAAATAAAACTTGAAAATCAAATCATTTTTGAATTGTGCTTTTCTGTTTTTCACCATGAAAAAGAAAAACGGCTCGCATTTCAATATTCACCTTTAAATCTGAAAACCAAAATAATAAACAGCTCGCTTCTCGTCTTTCAACATCCAACAGTTCCTAAAATGAAACCCAATGACTGAAAGACACACGGACCCTTCATCAGTTCAGCTCATCTCAGACATTTACTCCACTGTCCACACACCTGTGTGTATACAGCCTGCAGAGCCCAGTGTTAGGAGAGTGCTCTGAGCGTCCGCACTGCAGATGGAGGTGTGTGTGTGTGTGTGCTCAGCGTCACCTCATTACAGGAGCACAGATGCCGTGACCTTCAGCTCATCACGCACACAGACACATATAGACAGTCACAAACACACACACACTCAGCGCTGCTACAGTCACTGTTTCCTAAGTGTGTGTGTGTGTACAGACCCGCACTAATGTTCTCTCTCTCTCTTTCTCTGTGTGTGTGTGTCAGCTGGGACTACCTACATCTTCGGCCGGGGAGGAGCCCTCATCACCTACACCTGGCCGCCGAATGACCGTCCCAGCACGCGGGCGGACCGGCTGGCAGTGGGCTTCAGCTCGCAGCTTAAGGAGGCGGTGCTGGTGCGGGTGGAGAGCGCCAAGGGGCTCGGAGACTACCTGGAGCTGCACATCGTAAGAGCAACCTGGGGGTGGAGCTGGGGGAGGGAATGTGGGAGGGGCTCGGGAACTACGTGGAGATGGATGTCTTAAGAGCAATCCAGGGGCTGGGGGCAGGGAATTACTCAGTGATCTTTGTTTAAGGGTGGTGCTTATTGACTTATGTATGTTTGAAGGCATGAATGAAAGGGGTGTGGGACTGGAGGAGGGAGGACCATACAGTGACAGATGTGTGTTTGAGGGAGGGGCTTACAGTGACTGGTGTATGTTTGAGGGAGGGGCTTACAGTGACTGGTGTATGTTTGAGGGAGGGGCTTACAGTGACTAGTGTATGTTTGAGGGAGGAGCTTACAGTGACTAGTGTATGTTTGAGGGAGGAGCTTATAGTGACTGGTGTGTGTTTGAGGGAGGGGCTTATAGTGACTGGTGTATGTTTGAGGGAGGGGCTTACAGTGACTGGTGTATGTTTGAGGAAGGGGCTTACAGTGACAGATGTGTGTTTAAGGGAGGGGCTTACAGTGACTGGTGTATGTTTGTGGGAGGGGCTTACAGTGACTGGTGTATGTTTGAGGGAGGGGCTTACAGTGACTGGTGTGTGTTTGCGGGAGGGGCTTACAGTGACTGGTGTATGTTTGAGGGAGGGGCTTACAGTGACTGGTGTGTTTGTGGGAGGGGCTTACAGTGACTGGTGTATGTTTGAGGGAGGGGCTTACAGTGACTAGTGTGTTTGTGGGAGGGGCTTACAGTGACTGGTGTATGTTTGAGGGAGGGGCTTACAGTGATTGCTGTGTGTTTGTGGGAGGGGCTTACAGTGTTGGGTGTATATTTGAGGAAGGAGGTTATAGTCACTGGTGTATGTTTGAGGGAGGAGCTTACAGTGACTGGTCTGTGTTTGAGGGAGGGGCTTACAGTGATTGGTCTGTGTTTGAGGGAGGGGCTTACAGTGACTGGTCTGTTTTTTGGGGAGGGGCTTAGAGTGATTGGTCTGTGTTTGAGGGAGGAGCTTACAGTGACTGGTCTGTGTTTGGGGGAGGGGCTTACAGTGACTGGTCTGTGTTTGGGGGAGGGGCTTACAGTGATTATGGTTTACGGTTACAGCATTTGAAGTTGTTTTGGAATATGAAGCAATTAAGTGTTGATGTTAAATCAAAAGTAATTCACAAATAATTTATCATATACTTGAGATGATTTAATGACAATAATTCTCTACATTTACAACTGAATTAATTACAAATAACTGTATAAAATGATAAAACCTGAAATGATAAAACATTTCGTCACCGTGTAATTATAATGTTCTCTGTGTTCTGAATGATTTTGAGATATTGAGCTTCAAAGTTTTTGCATTGCATAGCAAACAGCATGTGTGTAACATTTGTTTATTAAATAAAAAGTCTTAAAATGTAAACAACTTATTTAAAAAAAAACATCCCATAATGCAAATAAGTTGTCAATAAGTAGTAATGTCAATAACTCAGTTTTGACAGAATTGTCAGATAGAACCTTATAATTCTAATGTGAAGATATGATATGAATTGTACCCAGCTTAAATTTAAAATTAAAGTTACCAGAGGTAGAAGGAGAGACACGGGAGGGAGACAGAGAGCAGTCCCAGACAATAGCCTGATTGCAGTCAGAGAAGATTCCAGAGGAGGAGAGGAGCAGAGCAGGAAAGCGTGGAGACAGAAACCCCAAAGTCCACACACCGGGCCCTGATCTCATCAGTATCTGCCTTTGGGAACTGTGTGATCCTTCTTTGGTTAAAAAGACAGAAACAAATGCAAATCATTTAGACTCTTACATGTGCCAGCACCTGCTCATTTCAGTGTGTGCTGAGTTGAGGAGATTCTGCAGGAGAGTGTGTGAAGCACACACACACACACACACACACACACACACACACACATCCTCCATCTGTAAACCAACGCTTCGACTCTGAGCTTCTGAGTTAACATGCTGCTGAGTTTATATTTGCTTTCTCTTAAAAACAGTGAAAACGTGAATATCACACACACACACACACACACACACACACACCATAGACTGATATTAATGAAGCACAATAGCAGCTGCAGTGGCAGATGGTGTGTGTGTGTGTGTGTGTGTGTGTGTGTG